AGAGACGCCTTTCTGTCTCGGGAAAGTTGATTAGAGTTTTTTAAACTCCCGTCGATTTCCTCAGCATCACAAGACCAGGGAGTACAAGTCATGCCACAACCAGAAAGGAGCGAGCCTCTCTTATTTTGACTAATCCCCCCCCCACAACCCCAATCTAGTATTTTTATCAATGCAGAACAGAAACTCAAGCCAGGGGTGGCAGAGAGTTTCAGAGCATCCTGTGGGTAGTTCAGCGGTATGAAAGAAGTTTTTAACCAATTTAATTAGAATTTATTCCCACTTAGATATCTACTGAAGATCTCAGTTTGACAACATAGGGATGGCCAGCTTTTGTACGTTTTAGGGCATCAGGAATATAATTGTGTTTTGTTGTGAACATTGGCCCCTCGTGGGAGGCTGTGATTCATAATGAAGTTTATGACATCCAGCAGGAAGGATGTCATAGTAGTAGTGCTCAGGCATAGCACTGAAAACCACTATGTTTGTATATACTGTATATTAATGCATAGTGAACAAAATCCTGTTCACAGCAGTGTAATATTCAGTTCTTCAATGCCTTGTTGCTGGGCATAACAGCTGGCACCCCTACATCTATGCAACTTTATATTACATTCTCTTTAATTCAATTGCGCAATTAGCTGTGGATCCCTGGCATAACTAATTGCACAATGTGCTGTTGGAAGGGCTTTGTGCTGAGCACTTTCACCTTGGTGCTATCATAACAACCATATATGATCTTGTTGCACCCATGAAGTTACGCAACAGGATTTTGCCTAATGTGTACAAAATAGAAAAGAGACCTGTAAAATGATTATGTGAAACACCTCTTTTCCATGTTGTTGTTGTTGTACGCAATTCCTCTGACTTAGTGATCTTCAAAAGGACCTGCCATTAACAATGCATAGGTCATGAAAGCTAAAGGCTATGTTAATTTCCTGCTCCCTTTTTTTGCGTATGCAGGCTAGAAATGCAATTCCAGGGTGGCTGGAAGATTCTGATCACTGTTCCTTACAACTTCAACAACACTTCTTATTTTCCTTGTGTTTAAAGCCGTAAAATTATTTTGTAGGTTGCA